TTCTCACCTTGTAAAAAGCGCGGTCACACCGAGGGCTGCCAGTCATTATGAATGACGGCTGCTTTCCATCTTTCCTCGTTAAAAGTTATGCAATACAATGACAAGTTTTGTTTTCAGCCGACCGCGCAGCACCCTGTGACCATTTTTAAAAGTGAAATCACCTTAATAAAAGCGATATTAGGCCACCACATGTGCTTTTTTTGACAGGCGTTACAGTTATTTTTGACGTCCATCATGGCGGACCGGGCGGAGTTTCGAAGAGAGTGATGTCACGTGCAAAGCCCGCCATGGCTTTTTTATGTGGCCCTCTAGATTTTAGACTAAACAGTAAGTGTGCTTAAATATTATGTTATCAATTTAGTCAATGTAGTTTCTATCTGTTTACTGTCAAATTATATCAATCAGTCCCTTCAGTTCCTTGAGAATTATTGTGGAAATCCATGCAAAAAATCAACAAATCCTCGCACTTTTTTGCGCTAATGTAATTGGGAGTTAATTGCAGATTTTTCTCAGAAATTGTCAAAAACTTTCTTACTTGAACTAAATAGCTACCACAGCCTAAATTGATGGCAGATTATAGTCCAAGACCTATACAGCGAGTAATAAAAAGTTGCATTTACCTCCACAAGTGCAAATATCGCAAATATTTCCAAATTAGTACCACAAACACTTTGATTTTTATTGCAAAAAATCACAAAAGGAATCACATGGTCCTGAAGGGACCGAAAAGACGTTCAATAATATTTAATTTTAGCAATTGATTAATATATTAACAGTTTGTGAACAGGTTTTATCAATACATTGTGCCACAACTGGCCCTTTAAGAGCATTCATGATCCTGATTTGGCCCAAAACGAAAATGAGTTTGACACTCCTCATCTATAGGAACACAGTTTGCAAAAGGAGTTATGTAGCCACTTCATATTTAGAGCAAATACATTTACTTTGGTTATCTAAACATTAGCAGAAACTATATTACTGCAGGGTTGTTGTTTTTTTTTTCTCAGTAATCTTCTATAGGCTAACACAATCTTCCAGAGTTGGTTTGTACTAGAAAGCAATTAAAAAGAGCTTTCAGTTGGACATTAGCATCATCCCAATCTCATCTCCTAAGTTGGCAGGCTCGGAGTGAAGGCACCCGGCCGATACGACTTCTCGTGGCCCTCGGCTGTCACTGATAACAACTGTATCTCATTATCCCCTGTGTGTCGGGGCCACGGAGGTAGTGGCAACCGTAAACACCATCCTCCTATCCCACCACAAAGGCCTGTACGCCGACAAAAGGCGCTCACTGAGCCTTGAACCCAAGCCAATTTCTCTGTTCTTGTTGCCATGCACAGCAGATGTCTGAGAGAGTCTATGGAAGGTTACTAGGTTCTTTTAAACCTAGTAAACATGGAGCTGGTGTCTTAAGGCATCTATAATCTGAAGCAAGTAGAGGCATTTTGGTTTTTTGCCGTTTGTTTTGTAAAAACGTTTTCAAGCAGGAATCACAGAAGCCAGTAAAAAGACAACAGAAATGTGCAGGAAGATTTGTGGAGTTTGCTCTGTAAGGCATTCAACTTAAACTGGACAAATTTTAGTTTAAGTGAAAATATAGAGTGAATACAATGTAATGTGATTAAAATAGAAAATTTATTTTTAATTATTCTCTCAGTAGGTTTGATGAATAATTTCTTTTTTTTTTTTGTTTGTTTTTACAATTATTTAAATAGAAAATGAAATTCCCCTGCTTGATGTGATGAAACAAGATGGTGGAACTGCAATATTTTTCTTGTTTTAATTTATTTGTTCATAATATTCTCTAGAATGATTGTGGCAACAAGATTTTTAGTTACAGTCTATATTTTTCTTTCCATTATACTATTCTTTCCCCCAATTTTTTTATTCTTCCTCCTCCTACTTATTGTAATTAAGCATTCTTACTTGATTAATTTAGATATTTTTCTGTCTTTTTAATTATTTAAACTATCCAACAGAACCACACTTGCAATTAGTAGCAAAAGCAACCTTAATAAATCCTTTTTTTTACCAGAATTTTTTTTTGTTTATTATTATAGAGCTTGCAAACCTCTAGAGTTTAGTTACACATATTTTAATTAGGCTTTAATTTACCTTATCTGCACAAAGGTGACTCACGCAAACAATCACCAAAGGAAATTCATGTTACGGACAGTTGCAATCAACAACTTGTGTCATAATTATTTTTTTTTTAAAGTAAAAGAAATAAATCATTACCAAGTGCAGTACCTTTGCTTTTATTAGAAAATCATATAGATTAAATGTTAATCATAGCTAGCTTCATACCAGTGTGTTTCTGCCAACATGCCAGATGGACCATTAATGAGAATAGCACGAGGATCTTAGTCTATACACGGATATGGAGATGCAACAACAAGCATAACACCACACTTGGCTTCCAAAAACTGTTATTTATTTAGACAAAAATAGTAAGAGATGATCATTGCACACATGCACATGTTTTTTTTTTTTCCTTCTTTCCCGAAGTCAAAGAGTATGCGCTAAAAATGTGTGCTATCTCTGCAATGTTGGATGAAAGCCTGTTTTCGGATGTTTTCACAGAGTGGGCTGCCACGAGAGACTTGGAGAAATTGGAGGCAACACCTGTCACACACACTCAGCATCAGATATTAACATCCGTCTCTTTTGCAGGTCTGCGAGGAAGAATAATTGCTCTTGTTTAAAAACCTGCCTATTAGCGCTAACCAGGTTATACGCCGGACATCTGTCTGAGAGTCGACAGGCGTAATTGACTTCCATCATATCCCGGTCGTCTGAACGGAAAAGCGGGTCGGGACGGCGAGCGTTGCGTCGGTTTGCTTTGGCTTCATCACGTGGAATTGTGCGAGATGAAAACGGCACACATATGCCCGAGCGTGGAGCTCAGTGGCATGTTATTGGCACGGTGTTTTCATCAGGTCTGATAACATATGTTTGGAACTCAGGAGGCTCTGGGCAGGGGGGAATAGCGCTGTGTTTGAAGTCAAACCGTCGCATTAAGCAGAGAGAAGCGGCACAGTTGTGTGGAGATGCTCTCTTGTTCAAAGGGATGGGAAAGGAACAGCTCCGGGGAGCGTCCAACATCAAGAGCTGACCCCGGCACCGTTTCCTCGCTACCTTCTGCCTCGCATCCCACAGCCGTATGCTGCGATTCCCAAAGACCGGCAGGCCCGTGCCATCTGGCCTCACATCGGATTCCCCGGACACATATTGGGAATCCAAAGTATGCCACCTCCCTGCCTTTCCCTTCCCTCTGTGCTCTCTCCCTCTGGGTCGTCTCTGCACCTCCACTTCATCCCTGCTTGAGTGCTGGCTCGAGTGGAAGGGGTCGGCTCTCCAAGCAATCCCAGTTGCCCTTTTCCTCTATAATCCTCTCGTGATGGGATCCAGGAGGAGCCCTTTAAATTCGGAGGGAAACGGTCAATACTTTTAGAGATGAAGGAAAATCCCCAGAGAGTTATCCACCAAGGCCTTAAAGTTGATTTTGGCTTAACCGCCGCTCATTAAACAGCATTCACTTCTCATTTTCATTAAAAAGTCAAGATGTAGCATCACAATGTAGCACGAACTTTGAAAAGACTTTTTTACTCTGCTGCCCACTTCCAATAGGCTGCTTAATTTTATCCTGTAAGCTACATAAATCAATACTTTAGCCAAAGTAAAGCATTAATCTAGTCTCCAAATAATCATTCTTCCTGATAGTGTAAACCTTGGGTGCCCAAGGTGCGGCTCCGGTCCCATTTGAGGCTCTATGACAGATTTTGGGTGGCCTAAATGGAGCAAATCTGTCCTGCAACCTGAGGTGGTTGGTGCAGGTGGAAACGTTTTCAACGCATTTTACAGATAAAGAAAACATTAGGTACATTTATTAAAGTTTTTCATTCATCTTAATTTTGGAGTAACTAGGTCAATATTGGTGGCTCCAATTCCCTCCCAAGGCAAATCTTACTTCTCAGAAGAAAACAATCAACCCCCAAAATTTAGAAACTGTGGGCCTTTTTTATGTTTTGTATCTATAATGATTCAGACATCCGTTTTCTGCAAAAATCCAACTATTTTGCTCATGTTAATAACGGCTAAAATAAAAAGTTTGTTTTGAAAATATTATTTAACAAGGTAAAATTTATTTGGAAACTGATTGGTTAGCTTTAGACTCCCTTCACCTCATGGCATCTTATAAACCATACATGGCATAAAACATGACTGACAGGCTCCCATCGCAGCTCCATTTTGTGTGAAATTTTGTTTTCTGTTTGATCCGAACATCAGGAAGAAAAACAGCATCCTTCAACTTTCTTTTGCTCATCTGAAAAAAAGAAGTATTTTGATGATACCTGAAGCTTGAACAACCCCCCACAGTGAGGCATCAATTTATTATATTATTGCCTTCATGTTGACTCGAGAACTGATGTTTTCAAAGGCAAACTTAAGAGCTTGATGTCTAACTGCCTTTCAGTAATCAAGGTGATTTATTCCTATTTTATTACACTTTTAATTAGATTTTATTCATTATACTTTTGCCTTAATATTTTTATTAAAATTAAACATTGAGCTTTGAATTTCATTTTATTTTTTTCCCCATTTGTCGGTCTAGTTTTTAACACTCGTCTGGATTTTTTTTTAAATTGTGCTTCTTTAAATTTTTATATTTTCTTCTCATCATGACATTAACTGCATTTCTTAGTCTTTCAAACTAACATCACATTAGTTAACTGTACATATCTATGCATGCGTTTCCTCTTCCTTCCTATTTTTCTGTTTGTTTTGGCATTGTTAGATTAGATAATAGAGCGCTCCAAAAATGATCAGACTTTATTTCCAGTGGGACCGGTTGAGTTATGCACATTAAAGTCATTTACAGTGGCTGATGGTTTGATATGACAGCTTAACATTGTTACAGTACTCATTGGGTTGTTTTTTTTTTTTTTTTTTGGAACAATTCTCAACAGGCTGACCTCCTTTCAGAGCACTGGTTGCAGTGAAAAAGTGTTGACAGACACACTCACAAAGGAAGAAGAGGCTCCAGGAAGAGAGCAGTGGTGGGCCGTGCAGCATGTTCTGTAGCACTGCCACAGATTTCACACTCCTTTTGTGCGTCTCTTTCTCTTCCTCTCCTCTGGGCGTCGCCGCAGTGGGAAATTCAATTCCCTAATAACTGGGGAATCAAAGTTGGACAGCACCACTGCTGAGACTCATAAAGGGAGCAGTGGAGTGGTCGGCCATTCATTCGTGCAGCCCCATTACAACGTGCACCAGATGGACACTGCACGTCACCGTGTGACATCTCAAGACAGCCGCAGCCGCCTGCCTGCCCGGCGTGGAAAAGATGAAAGTTGCGAGGAGGACGGGAGGCAGGTTGTGTCAAGCAGAGACGGATCTGATCAACAACTGCACGGAGACGAAATCAAAGTGGTCGAAGCATGTGGCGTGAGGCATCTGGTATTCCAGCAAGCAGAAGCTAGTGTGGTGTGCCAATGCGTTTTAGGGGGAAGAGCTGCCTTCCCCCATTCGGTGGCCTCAAGCGAGTGGAGAGATGGTGTTTTAAATCCACATGGTGTTTTTTTTTGTTTTTTTATTATCTTGAAATGGAGGAGGAGGAGGGTGGGTTACAGCTAAACAGGAAGTGTATTCAGTGTGAAACTGAAAACGTAGACGATGAGACAAAATTTGTGGTTAGATTCTGATCAGAAGCATTTTCAGGTAATTACTCTGCATCGGGGTTTGTTAGCATACCAATTTATATTTTACTTGTTTATAAGATTTTGTTTTACTTTTTTAATTATATTACTCTTGGTGCCAGTTAAGGTCTGGTAATCTTGAGTAAAATTACCACAGCTTCAACAAATTACAGTATTAAAGCAGGAGTATGTGACCATTATAATTTTTTTTTAATGTTCTAGTATCAGATTATTATGATCTGAAAGTATGACTAAATAACCGTAATGAAATAATCTATTTGCCTTTATTTGAAATAGAAACATTGCAATTATTCCCTGTGCTGCTAAATTAGTGGTATCTTTGACAATGATGCATAGACTTATACAGAAAGCTAAAAGCTAACCAGTCACATGCTTATGGCAGAGTTTTCTCTTTTACGTAATAAATGTAATTTTGGTACTTTCCCAGTATTGAAACACTGTAAACTTATTAGGAGTTCCTCTAGTTTTTCCACATCACATCTGTGTTTTTTGCATGCATATTTCCAAACAACCATGTTTGTCTTTCTTTTAAGTGAAGGGAAAATATAGTAGTTTCCTTCATGTAACTGAGCAGCAGTGAGCATTAAAAAGTGCAGGAGAGGCGTTGCAGTTTTTCTGTATTTAAAAACTATAAATATTTGACATTAATTAGTCTTTGACACGATTAACTGTCAAACAGCCGTTTGACAGTTTTGTAGGTAGGTAGGATGAATAGATGGAGAATAGATGAACCCAACAAGGAAGGATTCCTGGGAATAGATCAGATGATGTCAACAAATTTAAACTGAATCTGAAGATCACAGCTGGTAGAACCATCACATATTCCTGGTTTTTACCGGAGGCGCATCTCACAACGACTGGAAATTCAGGAAAAAAAAAAAAAAAAAAAAAAGCAGTGTTACAAGGAGTTTGATAATTCAAGTTAAATATAAGCTTATAGTATATTTTGCTAAAAATGTTACAAGTAGTTAAAAGCAGCAGAGATCAGCTGGGGAAAAAAACCTGTGGTTGCATCTGTTTGTTTGACCATTTTTGTATTGTTTAATTGCTGTATTAGTGGTGTTTGCCTACTTAAACCAGTCGAACTATATTCCAAATCTTTGGCGCATTTCGAACAGTATTTTATTAGAGACTAACAAAAAAAGTGAAATCTGTGGCCTTCAAAGAGATGCCAGTGCTTTTCTTCAAATCTCAAAGTGCTTTTACAAGCTGCAGAGTGAGACGTTTTGGCTTGTTCAGCTGAGCAAATATTTACTTATCATCCCAGATATGCGAATCGTCCAAAAATGAAATTACAGCAGTCGATAAATTAAACAAATAAAAAAAATAATAATAATGAATGCGATGTGGGTTTATGTGCTGTGTAATGCATGACACAAGGACCTGTCAAGCCCTCCTGGCATTGATTTTTTTTACATTTTATACCACTTCCTGCGTGGAGCACTGTGAGCATCTGATCCCCTAATCTCAGAATGCCAGCTTTCACTCAATGTCATCTGCCAATGAGCTGCAACCAGGCGCCCATCCTGCCTCTGGCAACAGAACTGCACCCATCCAGCTTGCGAGCGCTAATACCCGCCGTTGCCAGGCTACGGCGAGAGGAATCAAATTTTAGGTGGCTTCCACAGCTGTGCTGCACTGTCGTGCACCGAGGGACGTACATGGCAGCGTTCCCGCTGTGCACCTGGATGGGATGAAACGGGAAGAAGTGGAGGAGTCTCAACTGCTAGCTGCAGCAGAGGCTGGCTAAATAGAAGCTGTGTGTATGGAAACAAAAAGGATAACATTTCACATTATGAATTTTCAGATTTCGATGTGTGTGCTTTACTGGCAGCATAAAAAAACCTAAGATGGATCTGAAATAGAACCGGTATCATGAAAAGCTGAGAGAATTTTGTGATTAAAAAAAAAGATCAAAAGCAATCCTGCAAATCCAAGCAATGTCCTCTTTTCACCAGTTTATTGCCTCACTGAGTGCTCTTTGATCTGATCTATGAAACAACAGGGTTTCAAACAATTCCCAGCAAACAGCCTCTCCAACAAGCCCCAACCCCACAAGAAAAAAAAAAATATGAAGGGCTTCTCCACAGCTGACTTCCTACATCTTAGTCTCAATGCAATCAGTGAGCTGTGCCGCTAAGACATTGTTAATTTCACAGGGTTCACACAACTGTCACAACATCTTAACAATCGGCTTCAAACGAGACGCTTTCCAAAAGGCTGAAACAGTAGACCACATGACCTGGACGACATGACAGGGAAGCGGTAACGAGACCCAAATAAAATCTAAAAATGAAAAAATAACAAAGGTTTTAGGTTGTCTAAATCTCCCAGTGACTATTTTAGAGACTGCAGAACTGCTAAACTTACAGAAAGTTAAGAGTTGCTTATGTTAAATCCCAAACACAAGTTACCTTACATAAAAGCATCATTTAATGCTCACAAAACACACCGGTTCTTCTAACTAAATGTAGCACATTTTAATTAGTCTCCAATATATAATGTGGAGAGCATTGAAAGCTAAATAAAACAAATCCCCAGTATTCATTCACATGATTAAATACCTAAAATCTGGGACAATTTTAATTAGAAACAGCCAAACAGGGCTTTAACAAGCATGTTTCTAAGCAAAACAGACCCCCTTCTCTGTAGTTAGCTAGTATGCTAGAGACTGTGCTAGCATTGCTAACCAGCCAAACCTACAGTTGGAGAGCTGTTCAGGGTTTTGTAGATAAGGCATGAATCAGTTTTGGGCAATACTCATACTACTCAAATGACAAAGATACCTAAATGCTAACAATGCTAACTAACGGGGTCTAAACTAAATAGTTAGCAAACATTAAGAGTGTTTTTTTTTAGCAATGCTAAGCAAACATTGTGTCAGTTTTACAAAGAATTTAGCAAAATATTACATCCAAGTCATCACTCCTGCCCCACTATTAAATTTTTAAAAATACATCTTTTTGA